TTTTTTTCCAGCGAAACATTTCCATCAAATGTTTTCAAGTGTAAACCGATCGTTTGCGTCTAACTGTTAATAACACGGGTGCCTTTACTATAGACAACATAATGTAGAAGAAACACGAAGAATTACGTGTTCTGTGTATGCCCGACTTTCCCTGAGGTTGGAGGGGAGAAAATCACGAAAAACATGTAGCTGGATGGCTAACTATTGCCGCTGCTAATGTCTTTAGTCATTTATATTTACAGCAAAAATCAGCCGTAATATGATTCATTTACTATAATGTGCATATTTTGAATCAAAACCATGGCATTCATTCCGAAAAGTGTTAATTTGGCTCGATAGCTGCTGTGTGAATCGCTGATCGGCGGTGAGGGGACTGCGGGTGCGGGAGGGCCTGTGCGGGTGTCTGCGAGACCGCGCGCTGCATCCCGAGTCCTTATACCTTATTCCATAAGATATTTAAATATGCGTAAACACTATGAGTTTATATACACATCAAGTTATTGTAGCAATTGTTATTAACCGATAACAATTTATATAAAATATGTCCATTGCTTCTGGAAGACGCACAGTCCTCTTCGTAGAAGTTCAGCTTTTGAAGACTCTGATCAATTGTATGCCTGCGTTCTCTCATGAAAACTATATTGGTATTCTGTTTAAGTAAAACCATAATAACATGCATTAATATTTTTTTTCATGAGTTCAAATATCATTAGGAATTAGAGATGATAGGGGGCGCAGTGTTGCGCTTTGTTGCGAACTAACATTAGTAACTTTACTTCACTGCCAGTGTCAGAAGTGCCATATAATAATACTTTTATATACATATACTTTTATATGTGTGTGTATATATATATGTATGTTAGTTTTAATTCTCAAGTTATTTTAAGGGGGGAAAAAGATGGCTGTTACCTATTAAATTAAATAATGTAAAAAAGCTATAATGAACAAAATACCATAACAAGCACTTGCTTTTTAAATTATTGCCTTTATTATGAACCATCTACATATCTGTATCACAGCACTATTATGTTTTAATGTTTATGTGACAACTGTGTTTTTCTTCCCAGGCTTTTTGTTGACATTATTTACATGATTGGATATTTCAGCATGCAAATGGACCGGCCTGAATGCGTACCGTCTGTCCAGTGCCCCTTTTATATTGTACTACTGATAACCCAGTTATTAAAGCAGTGCAATGTTAAAAGGGCATTGGCCAGGGATTTTTCTCAAAGGTAGGGTCAACCGCGTGGCCAGCCATATGCTGTTAACAATGCTGTTAACAGGTGCTCTGACTTCATTGCACTACTGTATTGGACAGCTAGCAGTGCAATAGTATTGTCAAAGCATCTGAGAGCAGCTTTGCACAATGTTTGAAGTTTTCAAAGAGGTTCACCGTCTCATTTGGCATATTGTTGTTTGTTTTCTGTTTTACAGGTCATAATGTCTAATCCTAATTCTTGGGACCCTATCAGTATTGCCTCTGCTGTCCACTGTGTTCAGAGTAGTGCAATATTGCTAATAGGGTTTCAGGTTTTAGGTTGTACCCTCATTCAGATGGGCCACTAAATACCAAATTGTACAAACAGCAAACAACTCCCGAATTAAATCCTCTGAATGCTTAAGAATTATGATGTTTAGATCTGTGTCCTTGTAGTTCCAGAAAGCAGAAGCTGATATAGAATATGTGGAAAAGCGGCTGAAATTCGACTTCATGGCCAGTGCGCGAGAAGCGGGCACGTTTGAGGTACATTCGTATTCATTTGTTAATTTTAAATACTGACTAAAGTCTGTGTTTCTAAATCTGTGGTTGTGGATTTCAGGGAAACCCTGTTCAGTTGCTGGAGAACTTGTCGACGATCAAAGCGCGGCATGCGGCCCTGTGCACACAGGTGGAGGAGATCGCGGTGGAACAGAAACGATCCATGGACTCACTACGAGCTCACCTGGACACCACAGTGCAGATGGTTCAACAGCTGCAGAACACAGCAGATGTGCAGGTATTCATTCAGTTGTGCAACAACAGCCCATATCTATCAAATCAAAAGGTCCATGTCAATTTTACTACACCACAGGCCATACACAATTATTTTACCATGGTTAAGGGGTGGTCTTTGGAAAAAATAAAGTAGTTTCATGAGGTTTTTGGGTTCGGACTATATGTGTGCTAATGGGAAATCTTGTTCAAGGTTCCGCCACTGACAGAAGAAGAACAAGAAGCGAGAGATGTTCTCTGCTCATCCGTTGCTGCGTTAAATGTAGAGGTTAGACTTATTTTGTAATGCTTTTTATTACCATAATTACACAACTACACTACCGTTTAAATGAACACTCCACTATTTTTGAAAATAGGCTCATTTTCCAACTCCCGGTTGAGTTTTACCGTTTTCGAATCCATTCAGCTGATCTCCGGGTCTGGAGGTAGCACTTTTAGCTGTAGCTTAGCATAGATCATTGAATCGGATTAGACCATTAGCATCTCGCTCAAAAATGACCATAGAGTTTCGATATTTTTCCTATTTAAAACTTGACTCTTCTGTAGTTACATCGTGTACTAAGACGAACGGAAAATGAAAAGTTGCGATTTTCTAGGCCGATATGGCTAGGAACTATACTCTCATTCTGGCATAATAATCAAGGAACTTTGCTGCAGTACCATGGGTGCAGCAGGCTCGATATTATGCAGCGCCTGAAAATAGTCCCCAGCTAGGTAACTTCCAGTAAGCCTATTTTCAGGCGCTGCATAATATCATTGCGCCTGCTGCACCCATGGTACGGCAGCAAATTTCTTGACTTCATTTTTGAGCGAGATGCTAACGGTCTAATCGGATTCAATGATCTATGCTAAGCTACATTTAAAAGTGCTACCGCCAGACCCGGAGATCGGCTGAATGGATTAGAAAACGGTAAAACTCAACTGTTTAACTCTAGGGGAGTTGGAAAATGAGCCTGTTTTCAAAAATAGTGGAGTGTTCCTTTAAAAGTTTGGGGTTGGTAAGATTTTAAATTACATTTTTTAAGTTTCGTCTGCATACCAAGGGCTTATTTATTTGTTCAAATACAACATAAATATTATTACAATTTAAAATAACTGTTTTCTAATTTAATAAATTATGAAATCTTAATTTATTCCTGAATTTTCAGCAGCATTACTCCAGTCTTCAGTGTCACATGACCCTTCAGAACTCGTTCTAATATGCTGATTTGTTTATCAATTTTGAAAATTTATTCTGCTAAATATTTTTGTGGAAACCATGATACTTTTTTTTCAGAATTCTTTGAATAGTTCAAAAGAACAGCATTTTTTAAAACATGGAAATACTTTCTAATATTATAAATGTCTCGACTGTCACTTTTGATCAATTTAATGCATCCTTGTTCAATAAATTACTTTAACAAATAACAAAATTACTATAACTATAAAATAAATATCTATAACAAAATATTAAATAAAATACTTTAACAAAAAAATTACTGACCCTAATTTTTAAACTGCAGTGCATGTACCTGTTAAAATGTAATTTATTTGTGACGTTTTGAGGAAAAAGCTACTTTGAGTTAGTGAATGTGTTTGTTTCTTTAGGCCGTGCTGACAGAAGAACCTCAAACTCAAGCACAGTCTGAATGTAAGGACAAAAGAAAACTATCAACATAAGGCAGTTGTAACATTGGCACAATTTCAAAGGTCATCAGCATCTTTCAATATCAACAATTATATCGTTTTTTCCCCCCCTCCCTTGTAGCACAGAATGTGCGTGAAGAGGTGCCTGAGGGGACATTTGAGACTGTCCCGCAGAGTGTACGTGGTAACTTGAAGCTGAATGACCTCAACACGCTCTATAAGCAGTTATCCGAGTACTTCTCAGATAAGAACAGGTTTGTCTGGTCATATTTATGCAAAAACCTCACCTTTAACCCCGAGTCCTAACATGATTGATAATGCACTGTAACTTCAGTCAACTACATGGTTTTACTTCTACAAAGAAAAGTGTTTACGAATACATTTGATCTAAATATTTTCATTCTTGTATCTTCAGGGGGCCAATAAGCACTCAGAGGATGAAGAAGCTGAACATGAAAGTTAGTGATTCTGCATTGAAGACCTTACAGCACCTTAAACTCATTGAGCTGGATAAAAAAGGACTTGTGTCATTGCTGGCAAAAGACTGAGAAACAGGGACCAATTAGACCCACAAACCCCACCAAAATGTGTAAATCCTCCAGTTCCTTCCACCTGTGTGCTAAAGTAAAACCCTAAAAAAAGTTTAGAACAGGAATGACAGTGAACTTGAAAATATTTCAAAAACATTGCGTCCGTGAGGTTCAGTATATCCATTAATCAGGATTGCATACATTTTAAAAGAAAATAATCTTATCAGTCTTTTTAAGGACTAAACTTATTTTTTCCTGTTATTTTTCTGTCCTGTTTCCTCTGCATAATGTTATTCAGCCATTAAACTATATCATGACCTGTTGTGGCATCATTAGATTTGTATAAGAAAGAAACTGTACAGCATAAGAGTTTATATTTTTTGTAAAGGGAAACAGGTGTTTATGTAATTTCAGATCTCAGTGAAGCAGAGGAGACCGTTATTTCAATGTAAGATTCAGTGTATTCACTTTTTATTAGGCTACGGTCGTAATTACTTTTGAGTTTGGTATAAAATGTCTTTTATTTATAAACTGTGTGTATATATATATATATATATATATATGGGTCCTTTATTTAAAAGCTACTGAATACAACAAGTCACTGGCACTACATTTCTGTAGCAACAACATCAGAACCCCAAATGGAATTTAAAACATAAAAATGATTACATCTATTTATTAAGGTCAATAGGAACATCAAAGCTCAAATTGTTGATGTACATAAGTTTGAAGGTTAAGTTTTTTTTATTTGGAACATTTTCTTTCATTAAACAGTAAATTAAACAAAGGAACACAAACCACATGACTTAAGCATCTAAAATGGAAACGATTCGGATGCAAAACATCAGGATCGGCTCATCTTTAACGGTGCAGATTGACTGACTCTGGAACTGTCTGCTCAAGAACTCTGCTAATAAAAAATAGTAATGAAATGACAAAAATAAATTGTGGAGCATTTTCAACCAGGAAAGCCAGCAGGATTTTGAAACTAGTTTTTAATTTTAGTAATTTATCTGTAAAAGGTTTAATTTCTGTTGGTAATATCTATACTGCTCATATAAGCAATAGGATATACACTAGCACTGTATTCCAAAGGTCAAATGCATTTTATTCTAGGCTTCTTGTGCACCTGTTAGGATGGTTCTCCTGATCAGCTGCCTCAATCTTCTCTCCCAGCTCGTTTATACATTCTACAGAAAGAACACATGAGCTTGTATACTAACCCATGAAAGGCGGCAAGACAAAGACTTTCCATGTACCTGATGTCTCTATGTAGTCCCCTTCTGGACAACCCAAGTCCTCTTTCACATCCCCCTCTCCTTTTATGTCAGACTGAGACACGCTAGACAGAGTACAAATTAATGTTTAACATAATTTAAAGGGATAGTTCACCGAAAAATTTAAATTCTGCGATAAATTACTCACCCTCATGTCGTTCCAACCCCTGTAAGACCTTCGTTCATCTTCGGAACACAAATTAAAATATTTTTGATGAAATCCTAGAGCTTTCTGACCCCGCATAGACCGCAAGGGAACTACCACATTCAAGGCCCAGAAAGGTAGTAAGGACATCGTTAAAGTAGTCCATGTGACAGTGGGTCAACCGTAATTTAATGAAGCTACGAGAATACTTTTTGTGGTTTTTATACTTTAACAATTTCTTCTCTTCCATGCCAGTTTTTGATGCGCATTCACAACAATACCACGAGGAATGTGTGTGCATTCCTCTGCTTGCAAACAAGCCACAGGGCATGCATGTTCTACGTCAGAACGCTGGCTTCTGTGTCAGCAGCATCACACATGCGTGGTACCGTCATGAACGCACGTCAAAGACTGACAGGGAAGAGAATAAATGGTTGAATCAAGTCGTTATTTTTGTTTTCTTTGCACACAAAAAGTATTCTCGTAGCTTCATAACATTACGGTTGAACCACTGATGTCACATGAACTATTTTAACGATGTCCTTACTACCTTTCTGGGCCTTGAACATGGTAGTTACCTTGCTGTCTATGCAGGGTCAGAAAGCTCTCGGATTTCATCAAAAATATCTTAATTTGTGTTCCAAAGATGAATGAAGGTCTTACTGTTGGAACGACATGAGGGTGAGTAATTAATGGCAGAATTAAAATTTTTGGGTGAACTATCCCTTTAAGAGTAAAATATAATTCAGAAGACATATTTAGTCCTATTCATAAAAATCCAGACACTTCCAAGCTGATTTTTGAGACAGTCTGTTTGCATAGAAAAACATGGAGCTTCAACACTCACAGAGACTCTATAGCAAAATATAGCAAAAATGTAATATCCCGATTCACGATTTTATCCCGATTCTTCGTCATTTTGGTTTTACCATTTTGCAAGTGCAGTACAGCTAAACTAATTTCCCTTTTAGTACTACAGTCTGCCGTCACTGCACGCATCTAACATACAACAACACGTCCGATTTTTTCTCAACCGTTTACTTTCACTGACATAACCAGCTGTTCTTCTATGTAAACCTTGTGTCTTTTTGACAGCAATATTTTTTTTGCGCAATCAGACATGAATGATAACTTAGTCCAGTAATCAGGCGCTGTTAGTCTGTGTGCGCCTCAGGTATATGCGCTCAGAAAAAGCACATGTCAGAACAGCACGCAAATGAAATGTTTAACCGGCAAGGCTTTATTTAAAGCACATGCAAATAATTTACTTTTGTGATTGCAAATAAGTGCGGAGTCCCGTGACTGTAACTCTAACGCTGAGTTAACTTTTGATGTGAATTTATGTCGCGTTGTTCAGTATATTGAGACGGAGGAGTCAGAACTGCAACTGATAATATGTGCGCTGTAGCACGGTACTACAATATTTCTTCAAAAGCAGATCATGAAGACATTTGTCCACGATCAAAAATCGTGATATCGCGCATCCCTAGAACCTACTAACCTGGATCTTAAAAAGTGAACAAATTATTCAATTAAAATACATAAATACCCACCCCATAAAATCCTTACTGCTGTAGACAGTAGACTATTCTGAATTTTAATAGTCACCATGACCATTCATATTTTTTTTATGGAATTTTGCATTATGTATTACCAATAATTTATGCACACACATAATCTTTTTTCAATCCATGTGCTCATAATCTTTAATCAAATACAGTAATGTTTTTTTTTCTTGTTCAAGAAGTCATTTAACACTGATATGCCACTTTTTCTTTTTTTGTCATCACTGTGTCATAAAATTTACAACCAGTAAATTAAATCCCTTTACTAAGGCAAAGTATTGGGGGCTTTACCTCTCCATTTCATCAAGGCTATGACTCTGTAAGTTTGCATTACTATCCATATCAGCAGGGTTGACATCTGGATGCTGGTCTGAAAATACAGAAGCACATTACTTCAATTCCTCACTTAAAGTAATAAAAACAGCCCTACTGTAGATCTGTCTTACCATGTATCTGACATGGGTTTTCACCCTCACACCCTTCCATCCTCTCTGCATTGTTTTCATCATCAAACACCTTTTCATCAGCGGACTCTTGCTCACATCGATGTTCAGAATCTGACGGGCCGTCACCTACCTCCTGTCCCTCCTCATCCACATCAGTATTCTCTGCAGGAAACACAAACAAACAGTTTGATTCATGATCATGGCAAATGCATCCCATAATTAAGTTAAGTTTTAGAAAACTACTGCAGTGAATGATAAAGTGTCATACCAATAGGAAGCTCTATCTCTTCACTGGTCCCCTGGCTGGTCTCAGTGGTCTGTCTGGCTCCAGAGCTGGCAGTGTTGAACTCTGCATTACCGCTGGAGGGAGAGTCTATTTCCTCCCTTCCATCCTTAGAGATGTTGATTAACGCTGGAGACTGCAGGACGCTGGACACAGAGGCATTTGTCTGAAAAGAGAAGCAGGATATCAATATAAGTGTGTTAGCTGTGATTATATTGATACAAAAATAAGATAATGGTACATTTACTTTTATCAGATGAAAGCTTCTACAACAAAACAACAACAAGCATTTGTATGTAATATAAAGAAATTGTCTTTTCTTTGAAATTGAAAAAGTTTGGAGTGAAGTCAATTTGCATAAACCACATTACAACAATTTTGAAGATACTTGAATGCTAGAGTGTGCCATCATATTATCCCAGTAGTAAAGATGACATTTAAAAGCACATATTAGAAATCAGAGATGCACTGATTGAAATTTTGGCTAATAACTCATAATTAATAATATGTCTGGAATATAGGTAAAGGATATAAAAAAACACCCACCTTATAAGTCTAAATTGCATATATATATATATATATATATATATATACACACACACACACACACACACACACAGTGGGTATAGAAAAGAATCATCCCCCTTTAAAGTAATTTTGTTGCTCTGCAGCCTGAAATGAAGACAGAGTTTTTGTTTTATCCAGCTGCATTTACTCAGTGCATTATTATAACTATTTTATATATCAAATCATTATAATAAATAATAAGTTAATATAAAATAATAAATTAAATTATACATTACTATTACAGGGGGACCAAACCTGCAGAAATTATAGATAGATAAGATAGATAGATAGATAGATAGATAGATAGATAAAGGAATAAATTACTTGATAAAACATAATTAATTAAATTATTGCTAAATTAATTTTTACTTTTCCTTTATTAATAATTTTCTGTATTTATTTGTAACTTTATTTTTTATTCTTTTTAACTTATTATTAACTTAAACTTATTATTCTTTTTAATTCTTCATTTTAACATATAGCCAAAATTCTTTTGTACGGTAAAAGTTAAAAATTACACAAATATAACAAAGATTATAGAAACAAAATGCCTGTGTACTATGGACAAAAAAAATCTTACAGGCTCTAAGTAGATGTTTTATGTTTAACATTATTTAGGGCAACTGGTATAAATAATCTGGGGTGTTCATTTGAGCATAGATTGTCAGCTTAAATATATCTGTTATATATAACTTGTTGGACTGATACGTAAAACATAAAAAGTCATATTTATTGGCTGATACTGATACGATTGTAGAAATCTATTATTCCAAATATAATGATTCATTGACTGACAGTGCTGCTGTCTCCTGTGCTGGCTGTGGCGTAACTCTCTGTGCAGACAGTATGGGATGGAGCACTGCCCCATGGTGATGAGTCCAACAGACTCTGGAGGTGAGGGAGGGGTTCAGTGCCAACCTGCACATATTGAATGTGTGTCCTATGGCCTGTAATTAAACAGTGTTCACAATTAGACAAAACTGACCCACACAACATATTCTGAATCTTGATTTATGTTAAATTTTTCTGATTCACTTTGTACCTTTTGGGCTGCGTGGGGTGCTGTTACAGTGTGAATGTCCTCTGCTGAGAGGGATGGGCGGGCCTTCAGCTGACTCCACCCATTCTTGGTGATAGGCTGGTGAACAGGATATGCTGGAGTGGTCTGCAATCTCAGCCAGGTCTGGCAAACAACTGATCGAAACAAAATTACCAAAACACGGAGCACAGACTCAGCCAAAGGTAGTTGTAATTTTGAATAACAAATGACCCATGCATTTAACGAAAGTGACAAAATACACCACCATTTAAAAGTTTGGGGTCATTAAGATATTTTAAAATGTAATTTATTCATGTGATGGCAAAGCTAAATATTCAGCATCATTACTCCAGTCCTCAGTGTCACATGATCCTTCAGAAATCATTCTAATATGCTGATTTGCTGCTCAAGAAACATTTCTCATTATTATCAATGTTGAAAACAATTGTGCTGCTTAAAATTTAAAAAAAAACTGCAATCTCAGCCAGGTCTGGCAAACAACTGATCGAAACAAAATTACCAAAACACGGAGCACAGACTCAGCCAAAGGTAGTTGTAATTTTGAATAACAAATGACCCATGCATTTAACGAAAGTGACAAAATACACCACCATTTAAAAGTTTGGGGTCATTAAGATATTTTAAAATGTAATTTATTCATGTGATGGCAAAGCTAAATATTCAGCATCATTACTCCAGTCCTCAGTGTCACATGATCCTTCAGAAATCATTCTAATATGCTGATTTGCTGCTCAAGAAACATTTCTCATTATTATCAATGTTGAAAACAATTGTGCTGCTTAAAATTTAAAAAAAAACTGATACATTGATACATTTTTGGGGATTCTGTGCAAAAGCACAGCATTAATTTGAAATAGGAATTTTTTGTAACATTATAAATGTCTTTACTTAAAATAAACCTTTTGTTACTATTATATTACTATTGACTATATTATTGACTACTATTATAATTTAATTTATGCATTTAGCAGATGCTTTTATCCAAAGCGACTTACAGTGCATTCAGGCTATACATTTTTTACCAGTATGTGTGTTCCCTGGGAATCAAACCCATGACCTTTTGTGCTGCTAACGCAATGCTCTACCACTGAGCCACAGGAGCACTACTATAAATATTAAAAACTGACAAAAGCAAAGAAAAGTACTAAAAATTAATAATTTAAAACAAAACTGAAAATACAGAATATAAATAATACTAAAATAACACTGCCGATCTCAACATTTTTAACTTGGTGTAGAGTTAATAAAAGAAGAATATTGTTGTTACATTAAACTAAATTTTATCAGCCTTTACTGAGTTTTGTGTGAGATGCTTTATTTCTTGTACCTGATGGTAGGAATGCACCTGTGCACAGGGGTAATAGATTCAGAATCCTTTGAGTCCTCTTGAGCAAGATGGTATTCTAGATAACAATAAGGGTGATATAAAGGTTATACAAAAGGACAAATGTTACCCACAAAGCTAGCAATACAATGAGTGCAGGCTGTTTTGAACTACATACCACTCAGACTGTTTTCAACAGCCTGTTTTCCCTCTGCTGGGGATGAGCTGGGTCGACACACCTCCACTGTGACGTCCAACTCATCCTCTGACTGAGAAATAAAGGCTGGGGGAATTATACCTCCTTTATTCTTCAAGGCATATGCCTAATCTTCTGATTTTATTGTGTTATTTAAAGAGTGTCCTATAAAAATAACTAAAATAGTCTATTTTCACCTGAGAACGCTCTTCACCAGATGATGCACACTTGGACAGGTAGTGTTTGGGTGTGTAGAACATGCTAGATTGCTGTGTCTGTGTACAGTCTGCACCATCTGAACTTCCCTCGTCCTTGTGACACAACATACATTAAAGTGTACATATTTAGCATTTTTATAGCATTTTGTTCTAGAAGTTCACCTATAATGTTAATCAAGGTTTAAGTCATACAGCAATCATGATTTAATGTGAAAAAACATTAATTAACTGGTACAAAACAAATATAAATAAAGGTCACAGTTTATCACCTCTGTTTGGCTTGTAGCCTCCAGCACGCCATTGGTCACATCAAAAGTGTGATTGATAGTGTGGTAATTTGTGCTCTCCTCACTATCACTCTGAATACCTGGCATTAAATAGCATTTAAACATATTTATTTGCATATATTTACATACTTATTTTAAATTATAAAAAAAAAAGTTTTGGAATTTAATACTGAATTTAACCTAAATAAAACACTAAATTACATTTTTGTCATCATTTGCTCACCTTTAAGTTCCAATTCCAAACCTGTATGAGTTTCTTTATCCGGTTGAAAACAAAAGAAAATATTTTACAGAATGCGGGTAACCCCACAGTTGAGTTGAACAGCATGAGGGTCAGTAAATGATGACAAAATCTTAATTTTTAGGTGAACTATCCCTTTAACAGCAGTTTCAGGCACAGCTCTATTACCGGCAAAACTCTTGAATAGTTGCTCCAGATCAGTGCTTTCCTGGGTCTCAGATTCCTGGTAGCTGTTCACACTATGTCTGTCCTGTAGGTGGAGCTGTTGCTCCACTACATCCTCACTGTCACTGCTGCCAAAAGCACTCAAGGGTGACCCCAAGCGCCCACGTGTCATTAGGGCCACCATTTCACTAATCTCACCTGCATGACACAAACAAAAGGTAACATGTCACCTCTTAGACAGTCTTTGAAATGGATAAATTGCACATGAAGATAATGAATGGTGTGGCTGTTGTCTCTCACTGGTCCATGAGGGTTTTTTTAGGAAATGTTCTTCAAGACAAGATCGGCCTGTGCTGTCTTTCTGGGTCTCAGACAACCCAAGTTGTACATATAACCTGAAAGAAAGAGATGTATTTGCTTATTTTTTGTCATGTTCTTGCCTATTTGTTCATATATATCCTTCCTGTTGTTGCCATCCATCTAGCATTCTACTTTTCTATATGACTTATATTAGTCTTTTTCTGCTAATGCTCTTATACTGTTGTACCTCTCAGACGTTTGATGTCCTGTCTGTTGCTGTCCTCTTTTTGTTGTTTCAACTCTCTTCAAGTCCCTTTTCTCCTCCTGTAATTAAAAGCTTTTTCCTTATATATATTTTTTAACAAACTATTTAAATCATTAAGCTATACTGATTGCCATTCCTTTTTTGTTTGTAGGGTGATCTCTGTTGGTGGTATTTTTCACTAATTTATTGTAAGTAAATTTTTTTTTCAAGAAATTAATATTTTTATTCTGTAAGGTCACATTAAATTGATCAAACGTGACACATACCTGTACACTACTAGGATAGGATGTGCTTTCGAAGCTCTCATCTTGAGCTGAACTGCACTGACTGACCTCCTCATCTCCATTAATGGTCCACTTGGATGTATAATTTTCGAACGGTGGCCCCATAGCCTTCCCAACACCATCATTGCGCTCTTTTTCCATGTTCGCCCTCTTCATCACAGCATCCACCTCATCAAAGCATGGGGTGCCCAATTGGGCTGCCTCCACATTATCCAGACTCTGCTCAGCTTGCTGTAGAAGAACCTGAGACACTTTGAGGTTGAGAACAATGGAGCCAGCATGCTTTGAGATAGAGCGACTAATTGCCAGATCCTTGTCTGTATCCCTATGGTTAGAACAAGGTGCCTCAGAGAGTGGGGTATGATGGGTAGTTGGCCATTCATGCAAAGCAGTGATGTCACTATGCGAAATATCTGAGTGTAGGTCATTAGTGTCTGTGGTGGACTCCTCTTCTTCTCTGTAGATTCTTTTCAGGTGATGTTCCCGGATCTCATTGTGTACTGCAGTCCTGCAGTGTTGATATACTAAGAGGAAAAAATAGGACATTCAAACTATATTAATGTATTACATTACATTAATGTTCTCAACAGACACTTTCTCACAAAACCGATGCTCTAAAAGTTTCCCTAATCATGACTGGATGGAAATCTCACCAGATTTGTCTTGCTCTCTTGTCTGATTAATATCAGTATTCCATCTAGGGATGCTCTGAAGAGCTGACCATGAGTGCCATCCACTTCTCGTCTTCTCGCTTCTTATCTCCTGTTGAAGATTAGATTGCACCATTTACTCTCATGCTGGTATATATTACTCTCTATATCTGCAAAAACCTTGTACAATGTATCCTTAAAGCTGCAGTCCGTAAGTTTTGCCTCTTTGTCGCCATCTCTGTTTGAAAACCTGCAATTGCAGCTGTGTGTGGAATTATCTTCCTTGCGTGGGTTGTACGGTGGCACAACTCCAGCGCGGATGAATCTAATATTTTGAGGAGTATGTGTGGCCAGTATCAGTCACCGCACCGGTGTGGATATTGTAATTTAATAATAATTAATCATTTATGCATTTATCAGACGATTTTATCCAAAGTGACTTACAGTGCATTCAGGCTATAAATTTTTTACCAGTATTGTACATTGCACTCACAGATTCAAGCCTACGTCTTGGAATATATGACTCAAATAAGCATTTTCACCGGATATTGTCGTCTGAACAAGTAAGTAACAAGTCTGCCACATTTGTTTTCCGACCAATGCATTACAATAAATCGCACTACCAATCAAACTCACCTACCTGTGATTTTCTAATGATCCTGAAGACATTGATTAGCATGCTCAGGTGTGTTTGATTAGGGTTAGAGCTAAACTCTGCAGGAAAGTGGATCTCGTGGGCCAGATTTGAGGATCCCTGGTCTAATCTATAAATTGTCATACCACTCGAATTTCATATTAAGAAATTCTTTTAACCCAAAAAGCAAATTATGTTCCCTTCGAACTGGTTGTCTTTAAAATACAAATCTTGTGTAATTCCAGGCTATCTGTAATCAGAAGCACATTTAAAACTGGAATATAATTTAATTTCATTCACATGTGTTTCATAAACACATAATCCTTTCTGGATTACAATCAGCCATCAAAATGATACATTTAATTAGTCCAGCTGCTGTGAGAAAAGGCTATAAACGATCGGCCATCTGCAGGATCCTCACATGCAATAGCCTAGTAGCCGGGACAACTTCTTTATGTTTACAGAAGTGACGTAATGATGCAGCGGCATGCTCGAATTTCCCACAAAAACCTACCCGTACCACGAAAAAAAACATTATTATAAGCTGACCGTTGTGAATCGGGCTAAAGTAAGGCAATAGTTTCGAACACTGGCTGGTTATGTACTCGCTCAAATATTGATTTCAGATCATTTTTAATCAAAAAAAGTTACGGACTGCAGCTTTAATAATTTTACTTACTAATTTTACTTTTTTCTATCATATCACCCACCAACTTTTGAACAGTAGTGAACATCCAGAAAATAGAACCTGTTACGTGTGCACTGATACATACTGATGAGATACAGTAACAGAATTAAACCAGTGTGCAAACCCTTATATGACAGCGTAGATTGTAGCACAAATCATGCAGGCTGCTGGTCCTGTGCTGGGCTCTGTGCTGGAGGCCCGTCTGCAGGAAGTGGTAATAAGGCTCAGGCACAGCAGGGTTTGCTATCAGAGCCTGACCGGCCTCTACTGACCGTTTTATCCAGCGTGGGTCTGTGGAGCCCCATGGCACAGCATCTGCACAAAGCAATATAATTGCTTTACAAGTCGCAAACTAGTAACACAAAACAAGATCTATTACATAAGCTCTACAGTTTACATCACATGCATGAAGGTACCTGTAAAGATCTCCTGTAAAAGGGCGCACACACTATAGAGATCAGCTTTTCCTGTACATGCTCTACATCTAATCACTTCTGGAGCTGCCCAGTTGATCAGGCTGAGAGGCAAAAGAACAGGAGGTGGGGTGTAGGGGGTCGTTCCCTCACTGTAGTTGGAATAGAGGGTAAAGGCATGTCAAACACAAAAATCACATTATGAATATAAGCCATTTAATTTACACATTTCCTAAATTGAAGTAATTTTATTTATATATA